TGTGTGTGTGTGTGTGTGTGTGTGTGAGAGAGAGAGAGTGTGTGTGAGTGTGAGAGTGAGAGAGTGTGAGAGAGTGTGAGAGAGAGAGAGAGAGAGAGAGAGAGAGAGAGAGAGAGAGTGAGAGAGAGAGAGAGGAGAGAGAGAGAGAGAGAGAGAGAGAGAGAGAGATGAGAGAGAGGAGAGAGTAGAGAGAGAGAGTGAGAGTGAGAGAGAGAGAGAGAGAGAGAGTGAGAGAGAGAGAGTGAGAGTGAGAGTGAGAGTGAGAGTGAGAGAGAGAGTGAGGAGAGAGTGAGAGAGAGAGTGAGAGAGTGAGTGGAGAGAGTGAGAGAGTGAGAGAATGAGTGAGAGTGAGTGAGAGGAGAGTGAGAGAGTGAGAGAGTGAGGAGAGTGAGAGTGGAGGAGAGTGAGGAGAGTGAGAGTGAGAGTGAGAGTGAGAGAGAGTGAGAGAGTGAGAGAGTGAGGAGAGTGAGTGAGAGTGAGAGTGAAGTGAGAGTGAGAGAGAGTGAGAGAGAGTGAGAGAGAGTGAGAGAGAGTGAGAGAGAGTGAGAGAGTGAGAGAGAGTGAGAGGAGGGAGTGAGAGAGAGTGAGAGAGAGTGAGAGAGAGTGAGAGAGTGAGAGAGTGAGAGTGAGAGTGAGTGTGTGTGTGTGTGTGTACTCACCTAGTTGTACTCACCTAGTTGAGGTTGCGGGGGTCGAGTCCGAGCTCCTGGCCCCGCCTCTTCACTGATCGCTACTAGGTCACTCTCCCTGAGCCGTGAGCTTTATCGTACCTCTGCTTAAAGCTATGTATGGATCCTGCCTCCACTACATCGCTTCCCAAACTATTCCACTTACTGACTACTCTGTGGCTGAAGAAATACTTCCTAACATCCCTGTGATTCATCTGTGTCTTTAGCTTCCAACTGTGTCCCCTTGTTACTGTGTCCAATCTCTGGAACATCCTGTTTTTGTCCACCTTGTCAATTCCTCTCAGTATTTTGTATGTCGTTATCATGTCCCCCCTATCTCTCCTGTCCTCCAGTGTCGTCAGGTTGATTTCCCTTAACCTCTCCTCGTAGGACATACCTCTTAGCTCTGGGACTAGTCTTGTTGCAAACCTTTGCACTTTCTCTAGTTTCTTTACGTGCTTGGCTAGGTGTGGGTTCCAAACTGGTGCCGCATACTCCAATATGGGCCTAACGTATACGGTGTACAGGGTCCTGAACGATTCCTTATTAAGATGTCGGAATGCTGTTCTGAGGTTTGCTAGGCGCCCATATGCTGCAGCAGTTATTTGGTTGATGTGCGCTTCAGGAGATGTGCCTGGTGTTATACTCACCCCAAGATCTTTTTCCTTGAGTGAGGTTTGTAGTCTCTGACCCCCTAGACTGTACTCCGTTTGCGGCCTTCTTTGCCCTTCCCCAATCTTCATGACTTTGCACTTGGTGGGATTGAACTCCAGGAGCCAATTGCTGGACCAGTTCTGCAGCCTGTCCAGATCCCTTTGTAGTTCTGCCTGGTCTTCGATCGAGTGTATTCTTCTCATCAACTTCACGTCATCTGCAAACAGGGACACCTCAGAGTCTATTCCTTCCGTCATGTGTGTGTGTGTGTGTGTGTGTGTGTGTGTGTGTGTGTGTGTGTGTGTGTACGTACTCACCTAGTTGAGGTTGCAGGGGTCGAGTCCTAGCTCCTGGCCCCCGCCTCTTCACTGGTTGCTACTGGGTCCTGATAACTCTATGACTGAAGAAATACTTCCTAACATCCCTTTGACTCATCTGAGTCTTCAACTTCCAATTGTGACCTCTTGTTTCTGTGTCGCCTCCCTGGAACATCCTGTCTTTGTCCACCTTGTCTATTCCGCCCAGTATTTTATATGTCATTATCATGTCTCTCCTGACCCTCCTGTCCTCCAGTGTCGTCAGGCCGATTTCCCTTAACCTTTCTTCATGGGACATTCCCCTTAGCTCTGGAACTAACTTTGTCGCAAACCTTTGCACTTTCTCTAATTTCTTGACGTGCTTGATCAAGTGTGGGTTCCAAACAGGTGCTGCATACTCCAGTATGGGCCTGACATACACGGTGTACAGTGTCTTGAACGAATCCTTACTAAGGTATCGGAATGCTGTTCTCAGGTTTGCCAGGCGCAAACCTGTGTGTGTTTTTACATGAATTTATATATATATATATATATATATATATATATATATATATATATATATATATATATATATATATTATATATATACCATACATGTGTACATACGGTACTCAAAAAATGGTTAGAAAAAATGGTTAGAAAACAGAAAGAAAACACACAAAACACTAACATTAATTATAGGGTTGCTTTGCACTCCGTAGTGATTAGTACTGGTATGTATTTATCTACTGGTAGTAGCACTGGTACATACTTAGTCCTGTATCTTTATTCTACAGACAGATGAAGCTGTTTCTGGGCCTAGGAATCTGTGCATTATGTTGTACAGGATAAACTGGGTTTCATTAATTACATCAGGTATTGCTGTGCAAGCTGTGTGTAGGAAGCACCTCTGTGCTGCTCCATACTTAATAATTGTTATTACATTCATGCCGGAGCTCTAAACCTGTAGGGAGTCATAAAGCACCAAGGTTATATAAGGCAATCAGGTTTGATGCAAAGGAGGGTGGTTCCAATTATTTGGATCAAGAGAACTTCACCGGCATCAAGGTACCCTTGACGGGGGGTCCGTACTTAAAGGACATCAATAATAAATTCATACCATACATTCCCTCCATCTCCAAACTTACAAGATTACGACTTTCAAGACATTTGGCATTTGAAACAGTTCATTGCGTAATGTGTTTAGAGCAAGCTGGCACTCCCAAATTCAAAAGTGGCTTAATGTTTAGATGCTGACCTCCATGGTGTCACAATTGAAGCATAATTCCAGGGGGAGATCACGATATATGAACTTAAGTGGCACTAACAGTAAAATGACAGCTTTGCTCGGGGGTCCCAGCTGGTGGCTGCTGCTGCTGCTGCTGCTGCTGCTGCTGCTGCCTGCGTGTAAACAACACCAGCAACACCAACATACTCTCTACCCCTTATTCTCTCAATTTCAATTTTTATGCAAAACACAGTGAATTTTTGAGAATCAAATAAGTTTCCTAAAACAATAAATTTATTTTGTACTTATCTGTATGCACAATGTGTATATTAATAGATGTTGACCAGTACTTTAAATTTTCATTAGTTTGTACTCCTAAGTATAATAATGATGTGGGAATATTAAAGTTGAATCTTTTATAATAGTGATGACTTCAACTTGTCTTATCGTCTTCTTGGGAGAGGAAATGAGATTACGAAAGGTAAATATCCACTGTATATCATATTGTGAACTTTTTAAATTACTCTTCACTATCTTTCAAGACAACTGAAACCAATGATACACATTTAACTTGATTGAGTTATTCTAGAAAAAATCTACATACTCTATTTTTTTTATATGTCCCATATCTTATGTGTGCCTTCAAGACCATTGTAAAAAAAGTTTGGATGTTATGTACCCAGCCCAGTCTAAATAAGAACTTAGTTAAAACTAAACAAGAAATAAGTCACATTCTATCTTTAACTTGATTGAGTTATTATTTTTTATTATTTTTTTATTATCACACTGGCCGATTCCCACCAAGGCAGGGTGGCCCGAAAAAGAAAAACTTTCACCATCATTCACTCCATCACTGTCTTGCCAGAAGGGTTATTCTAGAGAAAAAATTTACATTGCTTTTTATATGCCCCATATCTTGTGTGTGCCTTCAAGACCATTGTAAAAAGAAAGTCCGAATGTTATGTACCCAGTCTCAATAAGAACTTAATTAAAACTAAACAGAGATGATTTAACTCGTAGCTGTAGTGTATTGAGATAATGTAAGTTGATAGTAACTTCCCGTGGGTCTGTTGTGGAAAGACGTGTTCACCCCTTGACAATGAGACACCTGCATAATCCTAGTTCATGCAGCACTTCTGGCCAATTCATCCATCATCACTAACTTGTATCAGTCCACTGTTGCATGAAGGTCTGGTGGACCCTATCCATGAACAGTCTTCTTCCCTTACCTTCAGTCTTTCTTGCCACTTTGTGTATGTATCTCCTGTGTGTGTGCAATGATTAAAAGTTTTCCTGAGTGTTTGTAAGTAGGATTAAGGTTTTCCTGAGTGTTTGTAAGTAGGTTCAAGGTTTTCCTGAGTGTTTGTAAGTAGGAGTAAGGTTTTAATGTGTTTGTAAGTGGGTTCAAGGTTTTCCTGAGTGTTTGTAAGTAGGATTAAGGTTTTCTTGATTGTTTGTAAATAGGTTCAAGGTATTCCTGAGTGTTTGTAAGTAGGTTCAAAGTTTTCCTGAATGTTTGTAAGATAAGATTTCGTTCGGATTTTTAACCCCGGAGGGTTAGCCACCCAGGATAACCCAAGAAAGTCAGTGCGTCATCGAGGACTGTCTAACTTATTTCCATTGTGGTCCTTAATCTTGTCCCCCAGGATGCGACCCACACCAGTCGACTAACACCCGGGTACCTATTTGCTGCTAGGTGAACAGGACAACAGGTGTAAGGAAACGTGTCGAAATGTTTCCACCCGCCGGGAATCGAACCCGGGCCCTCCGTGTGTGAAGCGGGAGCTTTAGCCACCAGGCCACCGGGCCACTAAGTAGAATTAAGGGTTTCTTGAGTGTTTGTAAGTAGGTTCAAGGTTTTCCTGAGTGTCTGTAAGTAGGATTAAGGTTTTACTGTGTTTGTAAATAGGTTCAAGGTTTTCCTGAGTGTTTGTAAGTAGGATTAAAGTTTTCCTGAGTGTTTGTAAGTAGGTTTAAGGTTTTCTTAAGTGTTTGTAAGTAGGTTTAAAGTTTTCCTGAGAGTTTGAGTTACATGCAGACTTGATGACGGTCGTATATTTAATAGATTTTAAATCCATTTAACCAACTAGCCTACCAGTGGATATCTGTAAATATATTTTTATTTATGCATAAACATTCTTCCTGTGCCTTCAGGGGTCTTGATGTGGATATTTGGAGCTCCTCACTCACAATCACCTGCTTGCAAGGATCCTACTCCTGTGTTGACCGCGGGGTCAACGCCCCGCCTGTGACCAGGCCTCGGGCTGGCTCAGGGCTTGATCAACCAAGTTGTTACTGGCGTACGAGCTACAGCCGGCTGGTCAAGTACTGACTGTAAACTTTACCAGATGGACAACTGTCACCAGAAACAACTCAAAATGTTCAAGAAATGCCAAAATATTTTATCCACACTGGTGTATTACCATCCATTCTGAAAAAAAATAAATACCCTGACCTTACTGTCTTTAAATAATGCATAACCACATAAATTTGTTTAAATTTACACCTAACTTACTTAAATATAAAGTAATATTTTTGTGACCTAATTCATGTCTTCAATATGATTATAACCAGATATAAGCATGTAAATAGTTCATTGTGACGGTAACTTAATTAGCTATCAAAACTTTCTTTCCCAGTCCCTGGACCTATTATGTGCCTCTGTAATCTTTTGACTACCAACCAAACTATGGGTATAGGGTGAATAATATATATATATATATATATATATATATATATATATATATATATATATATATATATATATATATATATATATATATATATGTATTATGTATATATATATATATTATATATATATATATTATATATTATATATATATATATATATATATATAGGGAGGTACCACCTCTAGAACTGTAATAGGGACCCTCATCCTCAGAGAAAAGAATAAACTTGCTTCAGGGAAAACTCAAGGTTCTTCCTGAAGCTGTTTGAGAATTTTCTCCTACCACCCCCTATATTTTATGTATATTTTATTTAAAGACAAAATACATTGACAAAACATTCACAGAAAATACGATAGAAAGTAAAACAACATAGGTGACTCAGCGCTACATCTCGAATACTTCGTCCAGCTCCCCGGCGGTGGGCCACGTGCCCAGAATGCTGCAGGCATTTCCTCTCTGGATTGCAACACTGAGTCTCTGAAAGAGGAAGCTGGTCGCCCTGTGGTCCTTGGTTTCTATGATGAGCTTTTCACCCAGCTTTATTAGGAACTTTAGAGCACACTTGCCCCATGCTCCAAGGGTCTCCGACCCTATTGGGATGAAGTTATAGCAAGGGGGAAGGTCTTCATATTTGCGGATCTTCTGGGTCTCCCTGTGGCTGGCAGCTCCACCCCCTTCCACTACGGAGTATGGCAAGTAGGTGTCTGCCAATGTGGCGGCCATGTGTAGTCCAGGCAATCTGCTTTCCATCCTTTCAAGGTAGCATAGTGGCTCCATCAGGACGCTTTTGACTTCCGTCAGACCTCTGCACTTGGGGTTCCCGTTGAGCTGGGCAACGGGCTGTGGCGAGGCTTCTCTTTATGATGTCATTGACCTCCTCATGCCTGGCATACTTCCCTTCTGCTGTGTGACACACGAGACCATGAAGTCTGAATTGATCAGCTGTCGCCCTGCCGCAAATACACCTATGTTCGGTGAGGATGGGGGCGGCTAGGCGAAGAGCAACACCAATCCGAATGGCCTGTGGGTCTAGTCGAGTGCCCAAGGAGGAATTGGGAACAGCTAACTGGAAATCTCCTGAGTGTGGTGCCTTCACTGCCAGGAGACGAGCTTTGTCCTTTCCTGAGGCATTGGAGAGCATTGTGTTGGCGATTTTTTCCATGATCGGTTTGTCCCAGTGGGACTGTTTGTGTTCTTTGGGAGGAGCTGGTCTACTGGAGGAATCTAAGGGTGTCCCACCGAATCGCTGCTTCAGTAAACCTGGGGTCTTGAGCTCCTACCACGTCTCTCAAGCGTTCGAGAACAATCTTCTTGACTAATGCACTGGAAGCCAAACATGAAGACAGAAAAGCAGGTAAAGCAACATGCGTTGCTTTGCGCACCCCTATACCTCCCAGTCGCACTGGGAGGGTTGCCTGATCCCATTGCTGATCCTCTAGTGACAGGTTCAGTGCCTTCTTAAGGGTTGACCTCAGGTGTGCGTCATATTCGTCGAGTGTTGGGTTGTCAAAAGAGGGTGCACACTTCAGGAAGTAAGTGAGTCTTGGAATAGTAAGGCACCTTGTGAGGAGATACAGAGCTCTTGGGCATCAAGATTGCTTATTCTCTCCTCCATTCTCATCAGGTCATTCAATTTGTCCTTGAGGACTGTGTCGATGGCCTGGTGACCCAGCGGTGCTCCCAGGAGGGTACTGTTGGACGGAGTGGTAGTAGAGACTTCTGGGAGGATTCTTCGCACAGCATTGATTATTTCCTGGTTCGCTGTGATGATTTCACACTTGGAGGGATTGAGGATGAGTCCCAAGTCTTCTCCCTGTGTTTTCACCAGTTGTAGGTCCCCTACCAGGGACTCTTCAGTACCTGCCAGAGTGCCATCATCCGGGTACCAGATGTTGAGCTCGCTGCGTAGGCTGGAAGTTAGTTCTCTTACTGCCAAGCAGAAGAGAAGTGGAGCTAGTGGGTCACCCTGCTGAACACCTTCTGATGATTGAATTTCATGTTCCCCAAACAAAAGAATTGAGGGTTTGCTGTAGCCAGCTGAGATGAAGGGAAAAAGACTGGGGAAGCGATCCCGAACAGCTGGCAAGACAGCATCTCTCTTTACCATATTAAAGGCATTTCTAAAATCAAGTTTGACTACAGCCTGTCTTCTGGTAGGTCCCTGATGTAGGCCCTTGCCGCATGAGCTGCAGCTCATATATAATATATATATATATATATATATATATATATATAATATATATATATATATATTATATATATATATATATATATATATATATATATATATATATATATATATATATATATATATATATATAAACTCATTGCAAGCACATTGAACGTATGTAGGCTTTAGTTCTTATCTATACCACGAGCCTTCGCCTTTAAGCATTATCTCACGCCAGTAAAATAAACTGATATGGCTAGAAGCTACAAGTTGCTATCTTGAAACATAAGTGCCGTGAGAAAAAGATTATTTGACTTGCATTCGTACGCTAAGAGCCAACATACCAACTTAACGCCACCACCTATTAACTCTTAGGCTATGTAGCTTCTCCAACTTCAGTACAAATAGTATGGGAAAACTGGCATGCAATTTTTATTGACATCATTGGATACTCAGCAGTGTTTACCTGGAGTTTACCCGGCAAGAGTTCCGGGGGTCAACGCCCCCGCGGCCCGGTCTATAAGAGTATTTAGGTACAGATACACATAAGTGCAATTATCATACATAATGTAAGTGTAAATTACCTAGGATAATAACAAAAGTCAAATTTTGGACACAGTGCAAATGTATCCATTGTGTCTAGAATACGACTTCTAGCAAGACTAGAGCTTTCTAACAAATTTATGTAAACAAATTTCCCCCGGATACGACCCACAACATATGATTAGCTTTGCTGGTAATATAATGATTCACACCACCGGATTCTCCAACACCCGAAAGATTCTTTACCATATACTAGCCTCGTGTCGGGACCTAGGGTTGATTATCTCTACCGAGAAAATAAAGATGCTCAACAGGCGTCCTCCCGGTAGAGGCATAGTTCGCTGGATCCAGTTGCGTGATGGGTCTCCACTAGAATATGTAACCAAGTATAGGTATCTAGGCTTTGAGATCCCATTACTTGGACTTGCTGTAACAAGACTTTGTCGCCAATACGAAGAAAGACTGAGAGCACCTACAATTGTGGGAGGTTTTCCTTCCAAATATGGTGCTAATGTTAAAACTGTGAAAATGGTGTATTTTTTTATATTGGATCATTGGTTGATTATGCCGCACCACTACTCGCTCTTGTCTCAGCCTGGAAACTTGGAGGGCTGGAAAAAATGCTCTCGTACTGTCAAAATTTTAAATATGCAGAAAGAGCTTGATATCCCAAGCATCAGAGATTGTCACTGAACGAAATGTTCTCGTTGGGGCCAATATGCTCAGACAAGCCCATTTAAACCCGTGCACAGAAGCCCTCCAAACTTTCCTCATCACTGGTGGACACCTATCCAGACGGATCGCAAAAACTAGAACTGACCTCCGCATGAACCAGAGACATGATCAGTGTCAAGTAAGGCAACAGCTGCACTTCCCCGCTCCATGAGAATGGGCTATTCATTCATTCATTCATATATTTTGTTTGGACATGATACATAGTTATACAAGGAATTATAGTAGTTGGGTGTACATGCCAAAAGCCCCTTGTATGCAGAGCATTATGGGCAGGATTAAAATTAACTTAAAATTAACAAGCAATGAAAGGTTCAGTGGTAAAAATTACTCAGTTCCCTCCCTTTCCACCTGAAAAAGCTTCTTAAATGACAACCAAAGCTTCGCCTTGAAGCCAAGCAGGATACCTTAAGCTGTATTAGTGACTTAGTCACTCAGCATACTCTTTCACAAATTTATATTGACGGTTCGGTACACCAATCCACTGGTGCAGCTGGTAATGCTGCTGTTGTCATACAGAGTGATGACTATCATAAAGAAACTGGTGCAAACAGAACTGTTTCCCATACTCCTTGCAACTGATTTTCTATCATAAATAAATGCTCTCAACTCCTTAAGTATAAATTGTGGCATGCTTGTGTCAGAAACCAGACAACAGTATGGTAAGATTGTAGACAGTGGAGTCGAAGTACACCTTCTGTGGATCCATCTCGCATTGGTCTTCAGATACATGATAGAACTGATGAACTAAGTTATATGCCTTCAAAGAGGGAGTAGATTACAATCTTGGGTTGTCAGTTAGCACTTTGAGAACAATAATACGTGTGGAAAATACTGTATATATTTTTCAGAAATTCAGTATTTATATGTAAATAGATGGCCATACTGTATTTAATAATATTTGTCATAGAAAACGGAAAGCCTGCGTCTGCGGAGAGGAGACTCGCCATCTTGGTTTTGAATTTTGTACAAACGTTGGTGTAATGGGAAGAATTTTTCGTGCTCTAGAGGTGCATTCCTGCATAACTTGAGATATCAGACGACTGGACAAGACAGCTCCAGGAACCTCAGATAAGCTCTCTAGATTTGTGCGTAATTCTGGCCAGCATTATTTTCATAGATTTAGTTAGAGTGAGGTTTTCTGAGTATGATACACATTAATCTCCAGTCAAATTGGTGAGTACCTGGAGTTTACCTGGAGAGAGTTCCGGGGGTCAACGCCCCCGCGGCCCGGTCTGTGACCAGGCCTCCTGGTGGATCAGAGCCTGATCAACCAGGCTGTTGCTGCTGGCTGCACGCAAACCAACGTACGAGCCACAGTCTGGCTGGTCAGGAACCG